ATATATATATATATAGGGCTTTCAGTAGCGGCGTGTAAAACGGGGTTCAGTCGGCCTGTTTGTCCGCTCCTGGCCTGCAAACACTCCTTGCATTCCGCTACTCTGCATCATCTGGCTCTGGTTTCCAACTTGTGTGAAGCCCCCGCGCCTGGAAAAAAAAACCAAACAAAAAACCACACAAATTGCAATTTATTGAGAAAACTTGATACTACTGTGACTGAGAAAAGATGCTTGCTTTGTTTTTTTTCTACTTGCCAATCCATAATTAAGTAGAAGATGAAAGTATTATTTTTCACAATCGACACAGGAATGTCTTCTTTCATATAGGTCAGTCAACTTTTATAAGAACATTATGAGCACTCTGACTAAGCTTCTTATCCCGACACCCCTTCTCGATTCACCACATGGCCTGGTCCTGACTGACCAGGCATGCTTTTATCATCACCTAATTCAAAAGGAAAAAAAAAATTGTGTTCTTTTAATTACAAAGCCACTTTGTTCCCAAAATTTTACTTGCTTTTTCGGTAATGCTGTTAAGGCTCCAAATAAATTTTAGCTACCACTTGAAGTCCAACAGCAGTAATTCATAGAAAAAATAGCAATCACACTGGTAAGCAGCAAGTGTACCTTGCCATCTCTCATGATCCTGTCCCATCATTCCTCTATCCACATTTCCCTGACGTGAACGAACTCGATGCCCCTCTAACTTTCGACCATCATCTCCCCAGTCATGTCCAACTCTTAAAAAAAATAAAAGAATGTCTTCTAGGTGTGTCCCTTACCCATTTAGCAAAATAGGGCAAAGCCAAACACCATACCCCATAAAAAAGTGTGCGGAATTGTTAAGATGTATCTTTAGTCATCTCATGATTTCACTAAAAATTGGCCCAAGAGAAATGATGAGAAACTGGCTGAACAGCACCATTCATGCAACAAACCTCATCTTTTCCTGATCTAGAGAGATATAACTGGTATCACTGTGTACTAAGTGTATTCAAAAACTTAAAACATCAAACCATTCCTTGACTGCCGTTCCTCTGTCTTGCATATTTCTGTGGAACTGAACACTACATATCCAGAATGAGCCTAGCTTGACTAAAAGCTTGGAAAAGAAATAGCTACAGTTCCAATCAGTCTGGTTCCCCACTCCTACCGCTGCAATGATTCTGACTCAGCTTCCTTAAAACCCCATCGCTAGCCACCACAAATGAGACTTTTTTTCCGGCATTATTGGAGCATCTGGTACACGACCGAATCTCATCTGCATTTCTGAGCTGAGCTAACTGAGCAGCACTCTTTACGCACAGGGGAGCTTCTCCAGATACTCACAGAAACCATCCAGAGAGAGGATTTACACTCATCAAGCTGCTTCTGCTGTCACCCTTCAGAAGGTTCACCAAGCATTAGAATTTTAAAAGCCGACAAATCACTTCCCTTACTTCATATGCACTAACCGTGTTTGTGGAGGTATCCCTCTCCCTTCGCTCATTCTTCTGTCAGACCCATAGCCGCCCCAACCATCCCGCGAGTGACGATCGGGCCCTCCGTGGCGTTCATCTGGGTAATGCTAAAAGGCAAATGGTACGGAGTTTTGCTAGGACTCGATACAAGTTTTCTTTCAGGATTGCAAAAATTCAGCTTCCCATAGGATGCATTTCTATAAGCCATCACAAACTAAAACAGCAGCTAACTCATTTTTTACTGATTCCACTGTTTTACACTGTGCACGGTTTGCTCTAGGCATTTATTTTGTTTCACAGCACAGATTCCACTCTGCTCATCGGTGACGGAAGGCTTTGCTTGGTAGGGTGGAGTTTTTTTTAGTTTGGCTGGGTGTATTTTAAGGCTTACATTCCAGCTCTAGCACGTTCATTTTTACATACAATATCGGCCTACTTTCTACCTCTCTTCAGAAATGAAAGGTTTTGCATACCACTGCACTACCGGTTTTCGTATTTGTCCTTTTAGTCATCTGCCCTGTTCAGTAATTATTTTCTATAAGCCATTTATCTAAAAGTAAGAGAGGGGATCCCTCACGAGCTAATTGTAAGACAGCACAGTAACTACCTCTTAATGCAAAACAGTCACCCGATATGGTTTACCAGAAAACTTTTATTGCCACATACCAGTCTGAAACGACGTTGTACTGCAGCTCCCGTCCCTCAGAGGTTTCCCCCAACCCCGATCTCTGGCTACCACCGTAGCGGAGGACAACTTAATAATTTATGTTCCATATGTTAGCATGCAAAATCAGTGGCTGCTTGAACATCCATTCAGTTTAAATGCAGTGTTGGTTGTATTTAAGAACTAGGCAGCGTGTGCACCGAGTTCTTTCTGCTTTGGGCTTGGTTTGTTTGGCTTTTCAACTCAAGTGGTTATCCGGGTATAACTCACCTGCCCATCTCGATCTGGTACTCCTCTTGAGCCGTCTCTTCTGGAAGAAAAGAGAAAAGTTTCAGTCAAATCAACACAGTAACTGTAATTCCAATCTCTGTACAAAATATTCAAGATATTTCATAGCATAGAATGAGATCCAATAACATCTATTACTGTAGCACGGTAAGCAAAGCATCACTGAGGCACAGTCACGTACTCAGCAGTACTAAGGGAGAATACTGAATGAACCTACCATATCAGAAATGAGTTGCGAGCAAAAACAAAGCGGTTTTTTGCCAAAGAGCACACAGAAGGTATTTCTGATTCTGTGGAACTCAAAATCTGCTCTACCTAGGCCATTAGTAAACCACAAAAAGACAGGTAATTTCCATAAAGGCACAGGAAGAAAAGAAGTCGCCTTGCCAACCTGTCTAAACACTGATCTTGGTATCGGCCACGATCCCTGTGGTCAAAGTCGTGGAAGCGGTCTTGACGACTAAATTCAGAATGATACCTATCATCCATTGCCATTCGCTTCGCCTCTGGCCAGTACGGGTCATCTCTCCTGCAAAGGTGGTCACAATTAGCAGTAGTCTCAAAACAATCATCATTTCCCGCTCTCTTGATACCAGACCTCATTCAATCCAATTATCCAAGCAATTATTTTTGATTTATAATCAAAACCCCTTGTGTACTAAGTAGGCATCACATTTCAGTTTCAGAGGAAGCTGAGTGTATTGACACTTAACAAAAGCCTTCATCCCAGCACGTGCTGACATAAGACAAGAATGAGTATCTGTTTCCACCGGCAAGCATGCTTTAGAGTCAGTATGCAGTCCCTTTTCTCATCGCTCATCTTTGAGAAGTAAGAATTTTTAACCTGCTGTAATATAACGGTAGTTACAGGTATACAAATATGGCATTTGCTCTTTGTCAAGACCAACGTTAAAGCATTAAAAGCAACAGGTAAATGTTCGAGCTCCCACGACTGCTTTAGCACGCATATTCACAATTTACACAGGCTTCAGAAAGCTCTATCTGTAACTGGGGGTGGCCAAAGAGTTTAGAATCTCATCACAGTTATCATTACCTGCCATCATGATCATAAGGCCTTCTCATGGCAGATCGCCGTTCTTGTTCGTAGCGCAGCTGTTCACTTCCCTCTCTCGCTGGATTCGTTCCTGTTCTCGTCTCCTTTCCTGCTCTATATGCATTCTTTCTCTCTCCAGCCTCTCTCTCTCCAAGCGCTCTCTGTCAAGACGTTGCCTTTGAAATTCAAGTCGCTCTCGCTCTCTCTGCAGCCTCTGTCTTTCGTCCCGCTCGTGAAGAGCTTGAAGGCGCTGTTCTCGTTCTCGCCTCTCTCTCTCTCTAATTGAAAAAGAGGTATTTTGTTTTCAATTGAGGATCTGAAGTCTAAGCTTTCTTGCTTCTTTGTTTTGTGTGGGATTTCCCGTTTGCTTTTTTATTTTATTTTCGTTTTTTTCAAGTTTCTATGTTCTTCCCACTAGCTGCTTAAGTGTGAGTGATCTCTTCTGAAATAAGCTGCAGCCACTTGGTGGAGGAAAAGGAGGAACAGGAAGGAAAAGCTTTCACATAGCACAGCACATTCTATGACAGAAGTCTGACAAAGTATTTACAAACTTCTAGGGAAAAATCAAGTATAGAAATTCAAATCCGATTGAGTAGAATCTGAGACCTGCAAGCACCTACAAAACGTATTATTCAACAAGAGTCTCCTGAAAAGCATAGGTTGAGAGATCAATTTCAGTAAAAACCTTCATAAATTGGCGTTGTGTCTGCTTTAGCGATAGACTAGTATCAAATCGATCTGACGCTAAAGTGGGAGGGCCAGTACGCTACTTGGCAGCCTGTTCAAAATGCAGAAAAGGGAAGTAAAAAGAAATACCATTCAAAGTTTAGAGAGAAACTGGGAAAGCTCACCGGCGTCTTTCTGTTTCCCTGATTTCTCGCTCCCTCTGCCTCTGACGTTCACGTTCTCGCTGTTCTTTGATTTTATCAAACGATAAAATATCTTGCTTTTCTTTGCTCTCAGATTTGCGATCCTGGCTTTTTGTACTCTAAGTTAAATAAATAATATATTAATTGAACATAGTGCATTTTTGTAAAAAAACAAAAAAAAAAAGGCGCAAAATGCCTACCTTATGCCAGTCTGAACAAAACTGACTACTGTACCTTCCTGGAGATAACTAATGTTGGAATTTCACTGCAGCGTAGGTTGGGGAAAGGCACCCCCGCACTTGGATAGAACTTTCTCCAAAGAGTTTAAATATATATAAATACTAGTGGCACGTGATCTGACTTGCACCAGTGGCAAATGATACACCGCTTTAAAGGTCACCAGTCGCCACATTCCAATTCAAAGAAACACATCATCTCAACACCATTTTCATATTGAAACTCTACTTCTCCAACTAGAATAGCAGTGACAAGAAGTATAAAGAATGCGAAGCATAAGCAGCATTTACCACCATTAACACCTTAATGCTTTCTGAAAAGTGATAAAAGGATAACTGTTCCCAATATGCAAGGCAAAGAAAATTCTTCAGATATATGCATATAAAGTTATTTGACATCTATTTTTACATGAATGCTTCTCAGAAAGTTGTACTTACCCTCTCTTTTGATGTAGAAGTTTTCACACTGATAACGGGTTCTCCTTTAGATTTGTCCATTACCACTGTCCTTTCAGTTCCTCGACTTGCTGGAAAACAAAATACATCCAAGAATAAATAATACACAAGACACTAAAAAAATTTTTTGAGACTTAAAATGGAGAAACTAGGCAGTAAAAGAATAATTTTACTGAAGTTTTAAATAACTGAACTTACAAATAATAGATTTAAGATTTAAATAGCTTACCAAGATTTGGCCAAATTGAGGGTAGGGGCAGTAAAGCTATCACAAAATTACAGTAGTGTTTCTCAGCTCAGATGACAGTTAAAGGAAAGCAAATTTTATTTCATTCTTTTGCCTGCAAAATATATCCTTTTGCCATAGTTAATGGAGTTGGGGGGAAACAAAGGAAAAACGCACACAAAACCACACACCATGTCTGGCCTAAACCCAGTCACACTTCCCAAAAATTCACAGGTTGCCACTTTGATTATTTAAAGCCTGGTAACTATAAAAACTTTATTGCTAAGCTACTAGCGTTCTAAGTCAGGGAAAAAAGCTTTCAAGGTATGCTTTGTGGTCTTTTTACTGAATTATGAATCGCATCCAGCAAGAACACTGCAGTCTTCACAAGCTGAAGTCTTCAGATCAGCCACAATTCTGAACATTTAAACTTCTTCCATTTCCTACTTAGCTGATAAAGGAAATGATTTTGGATGCAAGGTAGCAGCTTTCTTGTAGTCACCTATATTCTTTGTACCTCTTTTCTAAAATTTGATTTTTGAAACAAGTATCCTTGAAAACATTTCTGAGAGGCAGCTAGAATTACCTGATTTGCTCGCCCTAGACCTATCGGAGGATCCAGCCTTTTGTTCATCTTTCTCTTTTCCTTCCTTTTCATCTTTTCCATCTTTTTCTGATTTCTTTGCATCATCCTTTTTGTCAGTCTTCTCCTCCTTCTTAGCACCAACAGACCTGTAGGTATAATTTGCTTTAACAGAGAACCTACCAAGAAGTGCTATATAACTGATCAACTCAACCATCCCAAACAAAAACAAACCAAAAAACCCCACACTAATCACAAAAACCTTTCAAAGGATATACTCAAAAACCCACTCCAAGCGCCTTCCATGCTTCTGTGCTGAAGTCAATGCCTACTTGCATGCACAGTTAAGAGCAGCAACTAATAAACTGGAAGTCTTCTGCCCTGCCTCTAAGTACAGTTAATGCTTAGCATTGGAGGAAGAGGGCCTATCCAGGTAAAGCTCCACCGGAAGAGTTTTTGCAAACAAATATCTTAAACGTTCAGTCCAAGTAGGCCAGCCTGCCAAAAGCACCTCCTTTGCCAAATCTTTTAGAATTTTATGAGAAAAAGAATATAGTAAAGCAAAATGCTTCTTTGAAAAGCACCTGACCACTCAAAAACTAAATAATGTAGTATCGCTCACTAACCATGCAGTCGATCAAAAAGACAGACTAAATCCTACAAATATTTCTCAGCTAAAAGAGCAGACCGAGCCAGAGTCAGGTCAGAAGATGAATGGTTCTGATGAAAACTAATGGTTTATCTAGAAATGGCCTGATATAACTGACAAGTTTTTATACTAAGCCCTGAAGAGCTCTGTACCTCTGAACGCAGGACCAATAGAGATGCACTTACTACTGCAGAACACCAATTTCAACTTTTCAAACATTACTCCTATTTCAGAGACAGCGAACTGAAATTTATGACAATTACTGTTCACTTTGGTCATGTGACTGCATTTCAAACAAGTGGCATTTAAACACAGAAAAATACCCAAACTTTACTTCTCAGATTTGGACTCTGCAGAATGGTGCCTGTCTTTTTCCTTCCTTGCTTCACCTTCCTTTTTGTCTGAAGGCTTCTTCCCAGCTGGTTCATTTTTTGCCTATAATTTTAGCAAAAAATATTTTTATAAAACAAGACAGAATTAAAGTTGCACATTTTCATTTTCACTACACTGTCATGGAATAGCTATCACTTACCTTTTCCACAGAAATCATTTTTCCATGCAGTTCTGTTCTGTGGAGATGATTAATACATTTAGTGGCTTCTTCAGATGTTGACATGGTAACAAAGCCGTAACAGCGAGCACCAGGACTGCGAGCGTTTGTCACTACTTTTGCGCCGACCACCTTTGGGGAAAGAAATCATTCTGTGTTTGCAGATTTGTTGTCAAATAAATTCTAACTTAATCACTGTTTGAGCAGCTCCATCTACCAGTATCACACAGTATAACACCTATCTACTTTTAACAAGGAGGAAATATTCTCAGCACACAACATTCCATGTTTTAACTTGACCTCTATACTGTCGGGCCAATTGTGCTCTGCAAGTGCCTCGCTGAAGACTACTTCATGGAATCCAACGCGAACAGTGTTTACACCCAAGTCAACAGCAACACAAACACTGACGAAAAGGTTCAAATTTAAGATTATTCCATGTGTTCTGAAGTAAGTATAAAATAAACACAAAATTTTATGAAGTGGTTAAATCCGATTGTGGAATAGATTGTTGATACAACCCTGCTGAAAAAAGAGACCACCGTAACAACCAGCTCAGCAGATTTATCTTCACTTTGCTGAGCAGGTCTCTAACTTAAGGAAGACATATATATGCACGGAAGAGTAGAGATGTAATAATAAAAATCTGAAAAAAAAAAAGGCCACTACTTTGTCTTTTCTTACCGGACACCTCTGCTAGTTTCTGTTCACAGATAAAAACCGTTGAGAGTGTACAGACACATGCTTAGTGACACGAACGTCTGATATTACATAAAGAAATGTATTAGGAGGAAGAGGAGATGGTCATGGAAAGAGTTTCCTTCCACAACTTCTGCTCTCATATCCTAAATGGCACTGCAAAACAAATGCAAGCCTGCCTTAAAACACTACCAAAAGGTGTAATTACACTACAGCGCACTAGATGACGACCCACCAGTCTCTCCTCTCTAGAATCACCTCATTTTCACAACTATCTGCACAGAAGCTCTTGGAAACCTGGATTTGTGTCTGCCCCCTCTCCATTTCAGACAACCTTCTTTACGAAGTATGCTACTTCCAGATTCAGAGTTTCAAAAGAACAGAAGAAAGTGCTTAAGCTGCTCTATTATTCAGTAGGAAAAATAAGAGGTAAATTTAAATCTGTTTAAATTGATAAAAAGGTTTTTTTAATTTTCATAACCACTACATACCTTTCCATACTTGCTGAAAAGATTCTTCAAGTCTGTAGCTCTAGTAGAGGATGAGAGTCCACTAACCCACAAATTTCTGCCAGAACCACTACCCACACGGCCTGAGGTAGAGAAAAATCAAACATTAAAGGTCCATGTAGCACAATAATACAACAGTGAAAAAGTAATCCCCCTACAAATCACACTCGTTCCTCATAAACCTCTTAGAACACAATTTCACTTAGGCCTCTTGCAATCAATAGACACAATGCAGCCTGCAAAACTGAACTTCTGAACTCCATACTAGATGTGCCTTTGAATAGTCTTCATCTACATATTGTCCTCCTACAGGACAATTGCTTTTAGAAGTACAGCTAATGTATTACATGCCAATTCGCACAAAACTGTAAGAAAAAAAACAAAACAAAACCACAACTTTACACCTATGTTACAACCACATTGAGGGTTCCCTGAATTAACAACCCTCACCAGAACTGCCACACTGAGTATAAACCTATAGATTTAGGCACATGTGGAGATTTTTCAGACAAATCCTAGTCTTGCCAATACCTATCACCATTCGTGAACCTAGAGGAACCCTAATAATTAGAGTGAAAATGCATGCACGCTTAGGGAAACAGAAGACAAAACAAAAACAAGCAATGCAAGAAGAGCAAGTCAAGAAGTAAGTAGAACTACTATTCCATTTGCTCCTTTGAATGTTTGCTTACTAGAGTTGTCTCATAAGCAATGCCTAGATTTGACCTCGTAACATTTTTCTTCAAGTCACTTATACACTTTTTTTTAAAAAAAACATACCTTTCTCATCCTTTGCGATAATCTTTGTATCTCTGTCCTCCTCAATGGGGCTGAAGAGAAAACACCATGTTATTCAACCAAACATAAGCAAAACCAATGTTACTTCTAGATTGTGCACTAAAACTGCATACCTACCAGTAAATTAGTTCTGAATAAAAGACTGTCTTTGCAAATATATAGATGAGTGACAGGAAATACAAGATTCGTATCCTTAAATGGACAACTTTGTTTTGTAGACGGCAGAAACGAGTAATTTAAGAAAACAACCTTTGAAGGTT